GTCCAGTCAATTGGTAATTTGTTAAATTGTATTTTGAAATTTCTCAAGTGAGCTTTTCAATTCCATAAGATCACATTGATTTCTTTTGGAGGTGTTTATCTCTTCTTTCATTTCCTGGATTGCTTTAGAAGTTCATGTCTATTTTCAACCTTCTTTTGGATCTTGTTAAGCTTCCTTGCAATTCATACTTTGAATTCTTTATTAGTCATTTCCGAGTTTCCATTTTGGCTAGGAACCATTGTTTGACAGCTAATATGATCCTTTGGTGGTGTTATTACATTCACATTTTTTGTGGTGCCTGAGTTCTTGCCCTGTTCCTTCTCATCTGGGAAATTTGTGCTTCCAATTTTTGTAGTCATTTTAATGTGGATAGAATTTTTTCCTTTTTCTTTCTATGTAACATAATTGAGTTTTTTCCTTTCTCTTTCCCCCTCCTCCCTTGGGGGTATAACTGCAGACAGTATTGGGTAGGGGCTTTTGACTTTGCTTCTGTAACCCTATGCACATATATCAGCAGGTTTTATATTGGGCTATGGGGCCTAACCTATAGGCCAATAGATGGCACATACAGCTAAGTCAGCTGAGGCAAACACAGCTAGTTAGATACCTGACCCTTATTTACTGGGAGAAAGGATGGGCCAGGCTGATGATCCAGGTGAGCAGATGGTCTGAATACCTGGAAATTTGCCTGGGTGTGGAGCAGAGACAGCCCCACTTCACCACAATGTCTGTGCAGGAAGAATGGGGCCGCTCAGGCTGCTGATCATGGCAAGTAGGTGCTCTACCTGTCTGAATGTGAAGCCCTCCACATAGATCTCTGCAAAAAAGAGTGGGGTGACTCAGGCTGCCAATGCTGGTGAGCAGGTTCTTTGAATGCCTGGAGATCTACCTATGTGTGAAGCAGAGAGGGCCCCACTGCACCACAGTCTCTGCACAGAAAGGGTAGGGTGGCTCAGGCTGCTCATCTAGGTAAGTGGATGTTCCAAATGCCTGGAGATCTCTTCAGTTTCTTTCATCAGTTTTTTTAAACTTTTTGTCATATAGATCTTTCACCTCTTTGGTTAATTTTATTTCTAATGTTTTGTTTTGTTTATGAAGGATGTTCTTTATTGTTTATATATTTATTTATATAATTATTAATTATAATTATATATTTATATGTTATTTATATATTTATTCATTGTTAGCATATAGAAATGTTATTGATTTTTCTGTGTTGATTCTATATCCTGAAACTTTACTGAATTATTAGTCTAATAGTTTGTTGGTGACATATTTAGTATTTTCTGTATCTAAGATCATGTCATCTGCAAACAGAGACAGTTTAACATTTCCTTTTTAATTTGGATACTTTTCTTTTTCTTGCCTAATCACTCTGGCTAGAACTTAAAGTACTATATTAAATACAAGTGCAAAAGTGGATACCTTTGTCTTATTCCTGATCTCAGAGGAAAGCTTTCAGCTTTTCTCCACTGAGTATGATGTTATCTGTGAGCTTGTCATATATGGCCTTTATTATATTATAATACATTGCTTCTATACCTAATTTGTTGAGAGTTTTTATTATGTAAAGATAAATCCATCAAATGCTTTTTCAGCATTTATTGAGATGCTCATATGGTTTTGTCTTCCATTCTGTTAATGTGGTATATCATATTTACTAGTTTGTGTATGGCGAGCCATCCTTGCATCCCAGACTATCTGCTCACCTGGAACATAAGCCTGGCCCATCCTTTCTACCCGTAAATAAGGGTCAGGTATATATCTAGCTGTGTTTGCCTCAGCTGACTTAGTTGTATGTGCCATCTATTGGCTTGTAGGTTAGGCCCCATAGACCAATATAAAACCTGCTGATATATGTGCATAGGGCTATAGAAGCAAAGTCAAAAACCCCTATCCAACATTGTCTATAGTTACACTCCCATGGGCTAAAAAAGCAAAGCCAAAAGCCCCTACCCATCACCACTTGATCGTGGTGAATGATCCTTTTATTGTGATGTTGAATTCAATTTGGTAGTATTTTATTGAGGATTTCTGCATATTTTTTCATTGGGATATTGGCCTGTAATTTTCTTTTCTTATAGTATTTTGGCTTTGGTACCAGGGTAATGTTGGCCTTATAAAATGAATTTAGTTGAATTCAGCTGTGAAATCATCAGGTACTGGGCTTTTCTTTATTGGAAAGTTTCTGATTACTGATTCAATCTCCTTACTCATTGTTGGTCTGTTCAGATATTTATTCATGATTCAGACTTGGTAGATTATATCTTTCTAGAAATTTATCAGTTTCATCTATGTTACTCAATTTGTTGGTATATAATTGTTCATAATAGTATTATTTATTACTGTAGTATTAGCAGTAATGTAACTTATAATTTTACTTATATGAGTCTCCTTTCTTTTTTCTTAGTATAGCTAGAGGTTTGTCAGTTTTGTTTATCTTCTTCTAATATAATATCAACCAGCACTGAATCTAAAATAAACTCTTAGTCTCATTGATATTTTTCTATTATTTTTATAGTCTCTATTTCATTTATTTCTGCTGTTGAAACCAGCTCAATTGACCCATAGAACTGATGTTTATCGTTTCTCATGAATAAACCAAGAAATTGACCTTCTCAGTATTAAAACTTGAGAAACTTATATTTGTCATATCTGAGTTCCTGTCTCAGGAAACCAATCCTTGGGCTTCTCAGATAGTATCAAGGAACTGAAACTTACCAGATCACCACATCTGGACATGGAGACACTGACCCCTCACCTGTCATAATTGCCTGATTGATTACCTGTTAACCAAGTCCTTCTTATTCTTCCTTTATTCTTGCTTTCCCACACAGTTACCTTTCTTTTCTGCTATATAAACTCCTAATTTTAGTGTGTGAAAAAGATTAAAGTTGAGACTGATCTGTTCTCCTCGACACAGCACCCAAAAAAGCCTTCTTCCCTGGCAATACTCACTGTCTTTGTGATTGGCTTTCTCTGCAATGAGCAGCAGGACCTAGGCTAAACCCTTGGCATTTTGGTAACACTAATTTTTATTATTTCCCTCCTTTTCCTAACTTTGGACTTAGTTTGTTCTTTTTCTAGTTCCTTGTGGTATAAAATTAGGTTATTTGAGAGCTTTCTTCTTTATACATATGCATTTATTGCTATAAACTCTCTTAACTGCTTTTGCTGCATGTATAAGTTTTGGTATGTTGTGTTTCCATTTTTATCCCAAGATTTCAATTTTCCTCTTCATTTCTTCTTTGACCTATTGGTTGTTAGGAGCATGTTGTTTAATTTCCACATATTTGTGAACTTTTTAATTATCTTCCTGTTCAAAATTGTTATAGCAATTTCTTTTTTTAATAAAGCTTCATCTCTAACAATTTTAGAACTTTTCTATGATGTGTTTCTCCAGAAATTGAAGCCTATAGTAGAGCTTTGGAGTCAGACAGAAAGTCCAATTTTAAGTCGTGGTTGGCTAATAATCCTCAGTTTTTCTTTAAGATAGGTTCTCATTCTGTCATCTATGCTGGAATGTGATTGTGTGATCAAAGCTCACTGCAGCCTCTACCTCTTCAGCTCAAGAAACCCTGCTTCAGCCTCCTGAGTAGCTAGAACTACAGGCACATGCCACTGTGCACAGCTAATTTATTTTTTTGTAGAGATGCGCTCTCACAATGTTGCCCAGGCTTGGTCTTGAATTCCTGAGCTCAAACAATCCTACTATTTTGGCCTCCCAAAGTGGTGGAATTACAAGCATGAGCCACTGCACCTAGCCTAGTTTTTAAACTTTTTCAAGTTTCACTTTGTACATACTTAAAAAGGGTACTACTTGAGAACCTACATAATAAGCATAATTGATTAAATGACATACATATAAATTATTTGCCAGTGACTGGTTCGTATAGTGAATGCTCAGTAAGTAGTAGTTGTTACCATTCCATGTTGAATGAATGTTGAAAGATGGAGTCAGCTGTGAGTACTGAGAAGATTGTTTCTTTGCCATTAAATATGCTTCTTAATTATCTTTGTGCAGTCACTTTATATTCAGCTTTGGGTTCACCAAGAATTTTTTCCCCCCACAGGGTTAATGTTACTTATTTTACACATAAATAGATTTCCCTCTATGAACCTATCTAATCTAACTTTATTGACTTTTGAGCCCTAGCCAGTTAACTGAGATTATTTTCTTCTGAATCTTTATTTTTAAAAGACTGATTCTGGTTATTCTCCAAACTGTTGCTAGAGGTATCCTGTTCAGAACAGCAAGGCCAAAGCATTTGACAATTTGTAATCTAGTGAAAACAAGGCTATTGAAAAGCTAGGCTGCCATGCTCTAGAGAAGCTCTATAGGACAATTCTCAATCTTAAGGGGTACACAATTATATGAGTTGGTCAATCCCTGGAGAATTCAGATAGGGAGATTACTGGCCTCAAATATTTCTTCCAATCTCTCCCTCAAATCTCTAGAAACTGCCTGGAATTGAAATGGAGTCCTTTTCTAACTAAATTTTAGCACCCATTAAAAATGGTTCCAGATCATAAAGATAAGGGCACCTTAGATTCTTTTATCCTGTTCATTCTAATAAGTATGTGTACAAATCAGTAAGTGGACATATTCGTTGTTCTGTCATACTTATTTGTAACAGCCTTAGCACCATAGGTGTTGTACATCAGGATTTGGGAATGAGCCTATGGGTTACTAGCCCCTGACAAATACTACTGAGCTCTCTTTTTCTGCTAGTAAAGAGCCCTATATTCAACTGGTAACACTTTGCTTAGTTTTTAGGTGTTTAAAGGTCTTTATTTGAAGTTTTTTTAAAAAATGGAATGGGGTACAATAGAGTTAACACTGTCTGTATTTTTCAGTGGAGACACACATTTTAGAAAATTTTTTTTTCTCACAAGAAAGGATATGTTTTAGATAGTTCATATAGCTACATTTGTTAAAACTATGGCAGTTGTTTAATAATACAATATAGGTTTATGTATTTATATGTCTCCTTCTACAGGTTTCTTCAGTTTTTGGCGTGGCAATTTGGCAAATGTTATTCGGTATTTTCCAACACAAGCTCTAAACTTTGCTTTTAAGGACAAATACAAGCAGCTATTCATGTCTGGAGTTAATAAAGAAAAACAGGTAATTATATTTTTTTTTTACTTTTTTCTTCCAATATAGAAATTTTCTATCCAGTGTAAATATATTTCAGTATCTCTAAAATTTTCTTTAAAATGGTTAGATTGTCTTAACTGTGATGTTTTATTTGGGGAGGAGCTGCTCAAGTGGTGAGAAAAAATAAGTATGTATTGTTACAAAAGTCATAAAGGATCCTTTGTCTCAAGGCAATATTTCTTTGAATAAATATTATATTTAAAGTAATTTTATCTTGTCACTGTTCTGCACTGAGGAAACACAGCATTTTGTCTGCTTAAACACAGAAATCAACAAATACGTAGTACCTTCTACTGAGGTAATTTATATAAAGAAGTAAATTATTTATTTTTTGATAATAAAGATTTATTTAGCTTAAAGTGTATAGGAAGTCAAAATTGAGTGAAACTGGAAAATAAATTTAAGCTAGAGAATTATTTTTATTGCAAAGATACTGTTTGGTTATTGAAGTAATTACTCCCTTGGTTACAAAATCTCAATTTCAAAATTTCTTACTCATATAAACTACATGTCATTTATTCTGATTTATATTTGTTTTGTGGTATCAAATACACTATACTACCTACATTACTCCCAAGATCTTCCCCTCACTCTTACAAAATCTCTGTTACCCCTCATCTTCTCTTTTTCTCCCTGTCATTCCTCATCTCCCACTCCTGCCCCAAGCAACCAAGCTGTCTTAGGAGGTTTTTAAAAACAAGTGTTTGTAGAACATTTCTTTGTTGCTGCCTCCTTAAATTTCCTTTTATGCTCTGTATTCCCTTTCTTCATTATTTTATTTATTTTTTTAATTATTATACTTTAAGTTCTGGAGTTCATGTGCAGAACGTACAGGTTTGTTACATAGGTATACACTTTCCATGGTGGTTTGCTGCATCCATCACCCTGTCACCTACATCAGGTATTTCTCCTAATGCTATCCTTACCCTGTTTCCCTATCCCCTGCTATCCCTCCCTTAGCCTCCCAGTCTCATTGTTCAACACCCACTTATGAGTGAGAACATGTGGTGTTTGGTTTTCTGTTCTTGTGTCAGTTTGCTGAGAATGATGGTTTTGAGCTTCATCCATGTCCCTACAAAGGGCATGAACTCATCCTTTTTATGGCTGCATAGTATTCCATGGTGTATATGTGCCACATTTTCTTTGTCGAGTCTATCATTGATAGACATTTGGGTTGGTTCCAAGTCTTTGCTATTGTGAACAGTGTTGCAATAAACATATGTGTGCATGTGTCAATCATTTTCTTCTTAACAGTTGCTTACTGAATACTTTCTCTGTCTTTTGGCCAGTGTGGAGGGGCAGGGTGAGGAGGCACAGGTAGAAAGGTAACCAAGAAAATTCCCTAGACTTAGAATTGGAAGGTTTAGATTTGGATATTGGTTCTCTGTTTATTTAGCTACATGAGATTTTTTTTTACTTTTTAGATTTGGGGGTACATGTGAAGGTTTGCTATATAGGTAAACTCATGTTACAGGGTTTTCTTGTACAGATTATTTCATCACTCAAGTATTAAGCATAGTACCCAATAGTTATTTTTCCTGCATCTCTTCCTCCTCCAATCCTCCACCCTCAAGTAGACCCATGTCTTTTTGTTCTTTGTGTTCATAAGTTCTCATCATTTAGCTCCCACTTTTAAGTGAGAACATGCAGTATTTGGTTTTCTGTTCCTGTGTTAGTTTGCTAAGGGTTATAGCCTCCAGCTCTGTTCATATTCCCACAAAAGACATTATTTCATTCCTTTTCATGGCTGTATATTATTGCATGTTGTATATGTACCACATTTTCTTCATCCAATCTGCCATTGATGGGCACATATATTGATTCCATGTCTTTGCTATTGTGAATAGTGCCATAGTGATCACTTGCATGCATGTGTCTTTATAATAGAATGATTTATGTTACTCTGGGTATATATCCAGTAATGATACTTTTGTTTTTAGCTCTTTGAGGAATTGTTATACTGCTTTCCACAATGATCCAACTAATTTACACTCCCAAGAACAGTATATAAATGTTCCCTTTTCTCCACAACCTCACCAGCATCTGTTATTTTTTAACTTTTTAATAGTAGCCATCCTGACCATGAGATGGTATCACATTGTGGTTTTGATTTGCATTTTTCTAATGATCAGTAATATTGAGCTCTTTTCATATGACTTTTGGCTACATATATGTCTTTTTTTGAAAAGTATCTGTTCATATCCTTTGCCCATTTTCCATTTTTTTAATGGAGTTGTTTTTCTGTTGTAAATTTGTTTAAGTTCCTTATAGACACTAGATATTAGACCTTTGTCAGTTTGCAAATATTTTCTCCCATTCTGTAGGCTGTCTGTTTACTTGTTACTGTTTGTTTACTGTACGTCTGTAACCAAACTGTTGGCAGTTTGTTTTGCTGTGCAGAAGAAGCTCTTAAGTTTAACTAGATCCTATTTGTCAATTTTGGCTTTTGTTGCAATTGCTTTTGGTTATCTGTTTCATGAAATCTTTTCTCATTCCTGTATCAAGGATGATATTCCTAGGTTGTCTTCCAGGGTTTTTATAGTTTTAGGTTTTACATTTAAGTCCTTAATCCATCTTGAGTTGATTTTTATATGTGGTGTAAGGAAGAAGAGGTACAGCTTTAATCTTCTGTATATGGTTAACAAGTTATCCCAGCACCATTTATTGAATAAGAAGTCCTTTTCTCATTGCTTGTTTTTGTCAGCTTTGTCAAAGATTAGATGGCTGTAGGTGTGCAGTTTTATTTCTGGGCTCTCTATTCTGTTGCATTGGCCTATGTGCCCATTTTTGTCTTAGTACCATACTGTTTTGGTTACTTTAGCTCCACACTATAGTTTGAAGTTAGGTCACATCAATTACATGCCTCCAGCTTTGTTCTTTTTGCTTAGGATTGCCTTAGCTATTTGGGTTCTTTTTTGGTTCCATATGAATTTTTAAACAGTTTTCTCTATTTCTGTGAAGAATGTCATTGATAGGAATAGCACTGAACCTGTAAATTGCTTCAAGAAATATGGCCTTTTTTTTTTTTCTTTTTTTTGAGACAGAGTCTTGCTCTGTCACCCAGGCTGGAGTGCAGTGGCATGATCTTGGCTCACTGCAATCTCTGCCTCCTGGGTTCAAGCAGTTCTCCTGCCTCAGCCTTCCAAGTAGCTGGGACTACAGGTGCATGCCACCACCATACCCAGCTAATTTTTTTGTATTTTAGTACAGATGGGGTTTTATCATGTTGTCCAGGCTTGTCTCGAACTCCTGACCTCGCGATCCACCTGCCTCCACCTCCCAAAGTGCTAGGATTATAGGCATGAGGCATGGTGTCTGGCCTAATGTGGCCATTTTAATGATATTGATTCTTCCTATCCATGAGCATGGGATATTTTTCCATTTGTTTGTGTCGTCTCTGATTTCTATGAGCAGTGTGTTGTAATTCTCGTTATAGAGATCTTTCACTTCCCTGATTAGCTGTATTCCTAGGTATGTCACTCTTTTTGTGACTGTATGAGATTTTAAAAGTTGGTTTACTTCTCTGATCCCTAGTTTCCTCATATAAAAATTGGGTGTAATAATACCTATCTCATAGTTTAATTGTGAGGTTTAGGTGAGATTACGTGTGAAGTGTGTAGCATACTGCCTTGCTTTATGACAGGCATTCAGTAAAATGTTTCTGGTTCTTAAACTGACAGCTCTAATAATTGGAATTTCCCTTGACTCAGATTATTTGTTCCACAGTGTCGGGATCTACAAAACTATCCTCAGGTTCACTGATTCACTAGAAGGATGTATAAAATTTAGAAAATCTGTTATACTGTGGTTTATTAAAGCAAAGGTATTCAAATTAAAATCAAAGGGAAAAGGCACATAGGGAATAGACCAAGGGAAACCGGGTGCAAGTTTATAATTGTCCTGTTCTAGTAAATCATATGGACAGAATACTAACTTCCCAAGATCCAAAGCAAGCTTACCCAATCCTTTCTGTCCAGGGTTTTACTTTGGGATCAGTATCATAGACATGGAATGTGACTGACCTTAGCTACACAGTTTCTGGTCCCCTTCCAGAGATCAAACTCATGCAGCTTAGTACAAAACCCCAGGCTTAAACAAACAGGTGTTTACCATAAATCACAATGCTAGCACAAACTCTCCCAGCTGAATCACTCACCTCAGTCCCTTATAGATGTTGAAACAGCCCTGCAAATTGGCTCCTGCCCTTTTCATTTGCAGTCAGAGAGCATACCTGCTCATCCAACAACCCACCAGAAGGCTCATCTGTCTGTGACCCCAGAGACAAGTCTAAAGAGCTTGATCTCAAGAGGCCTAAAACAACCCTGTGACTTGGTTCCAGCCCCTGTCAGCCATGGATCAAATCATTACTGCCTTCACAGGACCCACCCAGTCATGGGAGGGTTCCAGAGATGGGAGGAAATCACATCCATCGGTACATCTAGTAACAGGCCTACCATCAATGAAACATGATGCAGACCCTCATCCTAGCACCAACTCACAGACCATAGTTCTTGAGACAATCCAATTCAGCCAGGATCTAGATAGGATATGTGCTTACTATAGTTTTTAGTAAGAGGCCCACCAATTGCATTCTTCACTGTGGACTCAGCAGCAGCCACATGACTTGGATCCAACCCCATTTAACTGCCATCTTAACAGCAGTCCTATCAATCCAAAGACCTAAAAGGAGAGGATTTTAACTTGCTGAAACCAGTTTTCTAAGACTGCAAGAAAAGTTTAGTCTTTCAGATAATGCAGACACCAACACAAGGCTACATGGATAATAAGGACTCAATGCAACCAGGGCACCACCAGAAGAAACTAATAATGCTCCAATAACAGACCCCAAACAAATGGAGATATACAAATCACCTGTGAAATAATCCAAAATAATTACCTTGAAGAGTCTCAGTAAGGTGAAAGATAGACAACTGAATTAAAATAGGAAAACAAAACCATATGTGAAC